AGCATACGCCAGGAATTTTCCGGGCGTACAGAAGTGACCTAAACATGAAATTATAGTATTATACATAAACAATGCTGCTGAAAATATAACTTTGACACCAATGATGTACAAGTAATATCGCGCTGCTAGCACAGATATTTGCAAATTTTGAATTCTATACAAAATTTATTAGTTATCATTATGATCTGTTAAATTAACCTGTGCACCAACAAAATTTCATATAGATATATACGGTGGTGATACGAACATTAAAATAAATTGTAGTGTGCGCAGACTTATCGAAAACTTTACGGTAAAAAACTGTCAATTATTAAAAAGCCAAGTGTCAAGTAAAAAAATTGTCAAACTCTCAAATGCCAATAATAAATAAGGCAAAAATACTAGAAATAACGATTAAACTACATACTGCTTATGCAGACTGACATCTTAGTCGAATAACGAGACCGCAGATATAGACTGATATGAATTTAGTTTCTCGTAACGCTTCATTATGGTCCTGTTATTCCTGTCCACCTTAAATGGAGTCCATACATTTCTCGAACGTGACAGTAACGGCAGCCGGCAGGTGCCGGCACTATTAAACACTAAAAACAGCACCAGACTCAGAGTCAGATGCAAATCTTCAAAGCACCGGATTGCACCGAACGCACACCGCAAAGGAGGATATGCTGTAATACTCGCGTATCGCTCGGGTTCATCTTCTTGTGTCCATAGCTTATTTTCCGCCGTTATGTACAAGTGATTACGACAAAGCAAAATAATCAGCAAACAAAACCAGAAGATAAGGAAGGCTAGCTGTGCGTGGAATTGGCGCACTAGCGTAGGCCCATGGAGTTACCCCGTGAATGTAAAAGTGCGTGTATACAGGGCGCCGGTTTTTTTGCAATAACAGCGAAGTTTACGTGCACGTATGCCGAGCAGTTGAGCCAAGCCGATACCGTAGTACAAACACTATTCGCACATCAGACTTGCTATTCGCACAACAATAAAACATTTGTATCTCCTTGCAGAGCATGTGCCTGCAGTCTGTAGTCGTAAAAAAAGCGCGGAACCACTCACTATAGTAGTTTTTTCTCTGCAGTCAGACATGATTTCGTGGTGTTTACAAGGGATTATAGCACTCGATTTGAATGTATTTCCGGTTCAAAATTATGTTTGTCTTTCATAATACAGTACTGAAAGCAAGCCGTGGAATGTTACTGGGTATGTTTAATTAGCACTACACCCTGCATAGCAGTTGCATAAATGTAAACGTAGAAGCGTTGTAACGTGGGGCCTTATGGGCGCCCACGTACCTTCGACGGCGAAACAGCGGAGAACCCGGATTGAGGCTTTAATGCCGAAATCTAAGGTGCGCACCGTGGCGCAGCAAACACCGACTAATGAGATCGGATCCTACAGCCAGCGCAGCTGTGCTGTAGGTCCGTCAAACACCACAGAAATGTGTGGGATGGAAATCCCCAGAAACAGCGAAACACAACGGCGAATGGCCAATCGTGAAGGCGGAGCTATCGGCCTTCACATCCCTGTACTGTCCAACACTGAGCCCCTGCGAAGTGCATGAAAATGGCGGTATGCGCCGTAAATAAGAAAATGCATGAAGTCATGTCAGTATGCATGCAGTACAAGTAACATAAAATCAAATGAGAAAAAACACTGCGTAGTACAGGCCCGTCCCTGTACTACGTCCAGTTGACTTTACTACCGGATACACGGTTCCACTTCGGGCGGCTTACGGTCCGGCTCGGTCAGTCCAGGTCGGGTAAGGTGATCCGGTCGGCTCAGTCTTGTCGGCTCGAGTCCGGTTCGGCTCAGGTCAGGTTCCGGGTCGGGTTGGCTCCGGTTCGGTCAGAGGTCGACCTATTGGGTCAACGCACTGTCGCGAAAGATCCAGGGTCCAACCCGGAAACGGCAAGTTCCGTAGTTGCTTCAGCAGGGAAAGGTCACGTCCTGGGGAAATTTGGGCAGGGGTTTGGGGCATCGGTACGCTCGTGACCCTGCAAACAAACAAATACGCTGCTCCGGTGGGGATATTCCACTGCTCCGTCCGGGTGAAGGTCGCCATCCCAGGAAATACGGGCAGGGCTCTGGTGGGGGGAATTCTTCGGCGTGATGCTGGTGGTCGATCCGGCCGTAGGGATCGGAGTTGGTGCTGCTGGTCGCGGTGTATCCGTTCTGGTTTCCCGCTGAATCCGGGCCGCGTCCGCCGTCGGCATCGCAGGAGGCGATTCTCGCTCTGCGGCATCTCCATCGCCTTCTGGTGGAGGCATCCAACGCGGTCCGCATTGGGGTGCGTTCTGCACGGCAGGTGGGTTTCCCGGGGGGCTACGGATGGAGCTCCACACTCGGGGGTTGCATTGGCAGCGATCCGGTCCACAACCCAGAAGTGCTGCGTGCGCGGGAGCGCGCGTAGCTGGGACTGTCAGCCAGCTCTGCTACCATGTAACGTGGGGCCTTATGGGCGCCCACGTACCTTCGACGGCGAAACAGCGGAGAACCCGGATTGAGGCTTTAATGCCGAAATCTAAGGTGCGCACCGTGGCGCAGCAAACACCGACTAATGAGATCGGATCCTACAGCCAGCGCAGCTGTGCTGTAGGTCCGTCAAACACCACAGAAATGTGTGGGATGGAAATCCCCAGAAACAGCGAAACACAACGGCGAATGGCCAATCGTGAAGGCGGAGCTATCGGCCTTCACAGCGTCAACTTTATCATTCAACATTAGCGTTTAAACTGGCAGACATGCAGTACGTACAACCTCGCTATAAATTGTTATCAAAAAGCGGAAACGAGCAGCCTAATCACAGAGAAAATATTCTGATCCAAATTAGCCGAATCGGGCATGTATGTAAAACACGAAGTGACGTTTTCTTGTCTGCTTCGCAGTCAGCGAAAACATTCCGTCGCGGACTCGCTGTGCAAATTACGTATTATTCGTGTACATACTATAAATCTGTAATTAACGGTATAGTTAGGGACCATACACAAACTACGTACAGAACGAATTTTCGGGAACGTAGTTTATAGATAGTCCCTTACAGTATCTTCCTTTGTGTAACTTGATGCTTGTGCTGTGCTAAACCACCCCCCTAAAATGTGCGAATCAGAATCGTGTAACATTTTGGTTACAGACTTTCCATAGACCTGACGAAAACAAGCCGTAAACTAAATAGTGTACAAAGACTAGTCTTTGTAATTATTCTAGTTTAACCGACTGCCAACTGGTGACAGTCCGCTCCGGAAAAATTACAAAAATACTCTGGTCGCTTTACTAGTGAGCGGTGTAGTTTTGGGCATAATCGTTGCCACTCTCCCGTAGTAGCATCAACCGTTTGATCATTTCTGAATTATTAGTCTAGAGGAGAGTGGCAATAATACAATTTAACTTTGGTATTGCTATGTGTATGTGTGCATACAACCTTTGGATACTATAGTGCACTACTGTGCTGAAGTACGACTAACCCCAAAACTGGTAAAATTAAATTAAAACCAGTAAACCTGCTCTGAGGATTTATATTAACAAATGTTTTATAAAATGATGCCCGTTCTGCTTCGGTTTGACCGAAGCCTTAATTACTTTATGACTGGTAATACCTTACGGTAACGATCTTCATAAGCTAAGCCGCTAAAGGGGTGTGCGGAGGAACTCAGCTAGTAGCTACGATGCTTATTTTGACACTTGGCAAGCATGTTCCAGCCGAGCACCTCCTAGATCTGAAAGTGCCGCGATCGTTTTTTTAATACGTCGTGTTATCGTTTTGCAATATGGCACTATGCGCAAAACGGCAAATAGAACGTGACCTTTTCGAATTTTAGTATGCCGAAGCTTACTTACGAACTTTGTGCATAACTAATACTGTTAACACTGTACAATAATAGGTTACTGTGCGCTGGCAAAGGGTTTCAAGAATATATAGCTGAGTTTGAGTTGACCAAGCACTGAGTTGAGTTGACCAAGCACTGCGTTTGAGTTGAACCGCTTACACGTGGTACACACTCCGTACATGCTTATATATGGTGCCACATTTTATGCGGCATCTGCCAGGTTTTATTGTTTGCCAGTTGCCAGAGTCTCCAGGTTTTATCGCCTGCCATGCCACTGGCACTGCCACTGGCAGGTGCCACTGCCAGGTTTTACACCCTGCCCCGCAACTGGATATGTCGAATATGTCTAAGTATGCAAAGATCCTAGCCACAAGTTCGACAGGCAGACCATGGAACGGGCATGCCTGAGGTGTTGCAACTGTGCTGGCGTAGTTAGTACAGAGAGGTTGTGATGTCATTTTGAATGCCACCCAGCGCGACAATAAACGGTTTGAACGAACCACGGTTTAACGTTGCGGTTTCCAGATAAACAGCGACAGCAATAAGTCAATAGCAACAGGACTATAACAGCAACAACAGTGGTCTTAGCACAATTAAATTGCAATAATAATTAATATTATCGTACCGATACACACACCGTAAAAAAACTACACAGTGAGGCTGCTTTTTAATTCGGGAGCTTTTAACTACCGAGCAGCGAACAAGTTATTTTGATAACGCTATTATTATGAATGCTCGTTCAACATTGACGTGATATTACTGGTCCACTGGAATCGTTGGTATTCTGTAGTCTGTATAATTATTATTATATTTTTCAGTCGTGTTTGAATGGGAGGTGTATGCGGCGCGGCGCTCGTACAGTACAATATAGTACACTGAGTGCAGTACAGTTCTACAGAGTACAACAATTGCTGCACTCTGCAGTTGCAAAATCGACATTCCTATGTATGTACTAATATTACCGCAGCTCAACCGTCTGTCTGCGGCTTGTGATTTTATATGCTCTCAGTCCTTGCCGCTGCACCGATGGATCACGGCGCATTTTGCGTGGACGTTGCGTGATTGCCAAAGTGACATTCAGCCATTCAGCTGCAGTCATACAGAATGAGCGGTTGCGGCTTGTTGTACCTTAAACTGACTAGCAAATCTCCATTCTACACTGTGAAATGCACAGCTCATAACTGGTTGTGTTATTAAGTACTGAGCAATTTTCGAAGCCACTACAGTAGTTTCGTCAAAGCCCTCGTCGACTGGGAAATAATTGCGCGTGGTGAAGGGTAGAATTTCCTAAATTCCATAGTATGTTGCACAATATTCACTTGGCTCTGCACGTTTGACTACGTGATGTTGACGGACGCTGTGATCATAATAAACTGTATTACGAATTACGATGGCATTGCGCGGCGATCATATAGATTACGGATGGGCCGACTCGGACGGGCGACCCCGCGTTCTTCCTTTGCCGCCACCGCCTTTTCATACTTTGCCCGTCGAACTCGTGGCGCGCGTATTTTCTTACCTTGACATTTTCGAAGTTTTAAAATGTTCCACGTAAGTCTCACGAGCGTAATCGGAGCTACAACAATTTCCTAAAGATTTTTAGCAACTTACTATTGTTATGACAAGTTGCTCAAGGTCATAGCGACCGAACGTCTGTGGTGCTCATTCTGTTCGAAACGGATCTGGGAGCCGCATTTATTATTTAATCTAACTACTCAAGCAGACCGAGTTATACTAACGCTTGGGAGAAAGAATGCAAAACTATGGGTTAGCAAATATGTAAGTTGTCAGTAACCCCAACCAACCTGCCAATTGCCATACAGTAGCTCAAGCTCCGGCGACCTCACACATGAAGTTGATTAGAATTACCTAACTGTTGCTGCTGTTGACAGCTTGTGTTGTGATGCATTGCAGTGTATGCAAGCGGTGGAAGGCAATCAATCAGGCGCCAAGAGTCCATGACGCCATCATCATCGATCTGCTCAAATGGGACAAGTACGGCTGTAACTGCACCGGTGGCTATCCTGAACCGGAATACAAGAAGCAGGCCCTTATTAAAACCAAGCCACTGATGCAGCGGTTCATTACTCGATTCACTCGCCAACTGCTTATCCGCTGGCCACTGGACACCAGTCCACCCAGTGCGGATTTCGCGATATGTACAGAATACCATTCGGAATATCCAGTCTCGGAGGATGAATTCTACTCGTACGTGTCATATGCAGACAACACGTAAGTGGGATCTGCTGGAAATGAAGGGTATCCTACTCCGATATCGCTGAGCAATTGGTCACTTTGAGTGGACGTACGTTTTTAGAAAAACCGGTCACCGGCCCATTTGCTGAGAGCCCTCACGTCAGCTGTGTTCTTATTTCTCTATCATTCACGTTTGCAACCGATACATACATTACTGAAATTGCGCTCGTCGTGGAACACGCTACATGAGGTGCCGGTGACCAAGTGCCTAAAACGTTTAGTGAAAGTGAGCAACTGTTCAGAGATTAATGTCAGAGTATAGCTGATAATAAATAAGTTGGCCACATTATTATGGTTACAGCCTACTGCAGGACAAACTGCTCGTTTCTGTGTACTGCATTGATTCTAAGCGCGATATTAAGGAGATCTTATACCGAACATATAGTACTTAATGGATATGCATGGTGCGAAGTGCTAACGAAAAGCTAGAGTATTGCCCGTCAATAATTTCTTAAACTACAACTTTAGTTACACCACGGTATAAAGGATTTATCTCTTTTATACCGTGGTTACACCAAGAAAAATGTTATGGAAAGCAAAAAAAATGGGAAACCGAGCGCTGGGATGATCGATATCAGTCACAGCAAAACAACACCATAAATTGGGAAAAGAAGGGGGGGTAAATTATGCAGAAGATATCCTTTTCCCAAGTGCACTACCAATAATTTTTTACAGTGGGCATGATAAATCTGTCGCGCACAGTATTCAAAAAGTTATGAGCATCCTCGAAGTGATCCATGGCGGCTCGGACGGCAGAGCTTTGGAACTGAAGAATCTTAAGCTGGTTGTTCAACACCTGAACCTGTACACTAACACCTTGTGGGATGTCATACCGCAATTTTTGCACGCAGTCACTTTTGACAATGTCAACTTGCACTGCCACTTTCATCCAACCGGAAACGCCCGGCCCAATCCCATCATCCTGCGTACAATTGTGGCTAAGGAAACCATCACTAGAGATGAGATGTGGCTCTTTGGCTTGGCGTGCGGCTCGCGCTGGGAAATACCGCTGAAACGGGGAATAAGTTATCCTCAAGATCAAATGCGCTATAACCATCCAATGCGTAATGTAGAGCTTTTTGGTCGTTTGATCGTGTTGCCGCTGTCAGAGGATGATGAGATAATTATGCAGTGCGTGCTGCGCTCATCAAGCAAAATCGGTCACCTTGCAGATTACTGGATCACGTAAGTTAACTTTCTGCGTCATAGAACAGTTCAAGCCAGCAACACTAGTAATACCGATGACGTCAAGACTGCGTTTGTAACGAATCATCACTGTGATGTTTTCTTGCAAGAACAACTTGATATAAAATTCAAAATGTCTCGTGTTGCTAGAAGTTGTCTAAAGTAGTGAATAATTTGTGCGCTCGTCTTGCTAGGTACTTTGGTCTTCAAGGCAGCGCAGGTGCCTGGGCCGAGAAGACACTGGCGGAAACGGAACTAACACTGGACAAGATCCGTCGATTTCCCCGTTGGCTGCAATACTTGGCGCGTGATCTTTTGCAGTACTATCCGCACGAGAGGGAGAAAGACAGGGAATTAACGTACGATCCTTGCGGCGCGTCGGTACAGAGAATGTTGGGTCCCTTTATCCACAAACACATGGCGCTCCAGCTGATGTCACACGATGGCATCTACCAAGACTGCGGCTATACTAAACCTATCAACGTGCCACCCCCTCTGTGGTAAACCTAGCGAGGCGATTACATAGCATTGCGTTGCTAATTTTGTTATGCAGTTGTATAATTACTTTGAAATAATAATACTTAATTTATGACTAACAATATTGTAATTTTGATTCTAACAAAGCGATAATCGTGGCCATTTATCGTTCCGCCGGCGTACCAGATTTGCCCATGTCTTACTTGTAAACCTAACATTGCCTAATATTTTTGCTTGCTGTTTTGTCGGAAAACGTGCAGTTTTGCGTTTCGATGCTGTAGTAAGTATTGAATACAGCCTCCACTGCCGCGCTGTAAAATGACCCGTCATAAAAAACCACGGTGGTAGTTAAGGATGCACGCTACCGTAATGTTACTGAGTTACCATCTGTGTATTTTCTAGTGGCAGAATTCATGAGCTGGAAAAAAAGTCCAATCGAACACGATCGTTGTTCGAGATGCATGTGCACAGGTCTGTTTTATTATTCGTCAAACGGTGGACGCTCAAAGAAAGAAGAATTATTCAGCAGCGCAATAAACTAACAAGTTAGCACATTAAAGCAAGCGGTTGCAACAACAGCAGCCGATAATACCGCTGCTTACTCCTTTCTATGAAATAATTTGCCATCGATTTCCACGGACGGCCAGTCTTCCTTGTCCAGATTATTGTAGAATGTCGCTCCCTGCGTGGGATCCGGGCTTTCATAGACGGTCGGCAGCCAACGCTCGATTCCCTCGCGCACTTCCGCGTCCTCCATGTCGATGTCATCCTGACCTTCCCAGCAATCAAACTGGCCCGCAGCGCGACATACCCCGGCGATCGTGCCGCCCCATTGGTCCACGCGGTTCTTGATCAGCCAGGCGATGGCTCTCTGCACAGCTTCCGTCTCACCGTAGGCCTGCGAGTAGATGGTCTTCAGCAAGATCTGGTAGTCGTTTGAGCTGGTATCCAAAGCTGCAAGGTACGCAAGGTCAAAGCAGAGAAGGAAACAGGGAAGGGTATAAAAACATGAATTCAAATGCACGTGATCATTTAAAATCTTTAAGCAGCCATAAGCGTTTTTGACGTTTAAGCTTATTAAAAAATAATGTAAATCATTTAAGGAACTTTTAAATAGTTCATACCTTGGTTCAGAGCAGGCATTGTCGTTTCTTTGAGTTGATAGCCGGTCGAAATCAAACAGGAATTCTATTTATGCAAAGTAGGCGTTTTCTGAGACACTAAACCAACGTTTGCACTCGTTTTTTTAATTGTCGGACTGCATTTACCAACGCATTAAATACAGATATCGAATGCTCTGTAGGCTGCCCAACCTCCAGTAGTGAATAATCTAAGTACGCGAAAGTTGCAGACAGACAACAATGAACGACATGGGTTTGTTGAACGGTTAGCGGCAATCAGACATCGAGATCGTAAATACCGGTTAAAATAGCGTGAATCATGCGCGCCAGTCACAGTAGATCAGAATGGGATTGCCGGCATTTTGTAAGGTTTAACGGAAAAAAATGACGCTGGTGCCCGAAGGGAATTACTTGCAAGCTATCCTGCGCAGATACACAAATGCCGCAGGTTATCTGCATTATCTGATCGTGATAATATATTGTTTTATACCTTAGAGTGACGAGTGTAATAATAGTAAGCCCAGAAAAAATTCAATCAATCATTATATGAAAATGCCGGTCAGTTCACTATCTTACGCAAATACATGTCAGAGACCGCTCACTCGAGGCGGTAGACACCTCTTGTGGCTTTGCTCTGTCGCCCGCCCGCACATGGCTACTCCATTCGTGCCGCGCTATTACGCTGCTTACTCAGCGCACACTTTGTCTACGCTGACCAATCAGCGCATTTCTCTGCACTCTTGGGGGTGGAGCCCTGCGCCTACGGGCGATTCCATGCTTTGCAGCATCAGCTGTTGCATACCCGCAGCACGCGGAATCATTATCACGATTCTGACGAGCGCGCTTGCAGCCACTTTTTTCCACAGCTTTTCCCTATCGGGTTTTCTGTTGGTTTTGTGTTGTTGCTTTATTGTTATCACAATAAAGGCTATTTGCCCCATTTTTCCATCTGCTTCTGTGTCATATCTGACATGGTAGCAGTATCGTTCGGTTTTCCTTCCTGTGAAACCTCTGATTCCCAGTGAAGGCATCATCGGTCGAACTACGCTGATTGCCTAAAAGTAGGCCAGCCATTCCGCGACCACCATCTTTCCTGCATTATACAGGCTTCACTGGAAGCCTGCTGCGCGACGGACTAATCATACGGGTCGGCGCCTATAAGTAGGTCCCCCGCAGCTTTGGCTCCCCGCGCAAAAACTGCGTTGGGTACGATCCAGTTGTCCAAATAAGCACCCTACCGGGTTGCGTTGATACGGGTCGGCGCCTATAAGTAGGTCCCCCGCAGCTTTGGCTCCCGGCGCAAAAACTGCGTTCGGTACGGTCCGGCTACACCTTAACGCCCTATCGGGTGCGCTGCGGCCCTCACGGTAGAAGAGGGTGAAGTGGACGACGGAGCAGCACTGTCTGGATCGAAAAACGACCGGTAAGACCTGCTGTGGCGTCGTAGGTTTTCGTAGAACCCTTGAAAAATTCGAGGTTTTCACGGAGAACCTAAGTTTAAAAATTAATAACTTTCGAACCTTTTATCCGATCTGCATAGAAGTTGCTTTTTCGGAATCCTCAAGAAATTCTGCACTAGAAAAGTGTAACAGAACTCTCGTAAAAATTTTTCCTAATTGTTGGTGAATTTCCGGCGAAAAACAGCCGCCATTTTGTCCAGCCGAAATTTTCGCGAAAAAAGTCGCATGACGTCATAATGGCTCATTTCCGTATAAAAATCGACCAATCAGAATAAGTGGGAAAATTCCCCATATTGTAGGCCCGTAATGAGTCATACTTGTTTTTGCATTTTTGCTCACGGCACGCTATTCGTGACGTAGGCAGTTAATTGCAAAGTAATCTTATGTGACGTCACGCTGGTTAGTACAGCAGTATAGGACCATAGGTAGGATAACATACTACCTGAGTTCCAGCACAGTACGCCAGCACTCACCATCGATCCTGACCAGATCCTGACCCGATCCAGCGTCCAAGAAACAAGTTCCTGGACCTGACCGTAAACACCCCACAACGTGGTGGGTGTTCGCTGTAGCCCCGTACAATGGGCGAAGTCCAAATGGCTGGGGCCCGGGTGATATCAACCACTAGCCAAAGGCATCTCAACGAGATGGGCAGCCAGCCGGACCAGCGCACAGAGAAGCTGTACGCCAGTCCTATTTGGACCCATCAAACCGCAGGCGACGGACATACGGTCCAACTTGCCGGTCTCAGTGGGTCAGAGCCAACGGCACTTGGCCCAGTTTGGCCAACCCAGGTGACGCGCCTATGGCGAATCTCACCGGTTGTCCCAGATGCGGACGACAATGGCCACGCGGACATCCACGACCAAAGCCACGTGGTACCGTCCAACACTGACCGGATCCAACGGCCAAGCCATAACGGTGCGGACCTGATCCGGAGACCGACTGTGACATACCTGTCGCGAGTCGGATACGGTGAACTGTTTGGTGCCGCTACGCGGACCCAAATGGTGAACGGAGCCGAGATCTGGTCCACGTCCCACCTTACTTGGACGCGGTAAGCCAGATCCAATACACCACACCAACGGTCGTGGCTGATCGGCAGACGCCGAACACCTGTCCTATCGGTCAGGCGCCGAATCCACCAGCCAGACCCGGAACCATGCCAGACCTGTGTCCCATCGGACCAGGCGGCACTCTTTCGCTGCAACCGGCACAACGTGCAGTGGCACAGCCAATGCACCCGGACCACTTGGTCCAGACCGGACCCAAGTGGGACCACTTGGCCCAGACCGGACTAAAGTTGGACGAGTTGGCTCAAACCCGAGCCATGTCCAACCATGACTGGCCCAGATGTTATAGCCCAGCCAGACCTAGTGGTCCTGCTCAAACTGAGCAGCTCTGGAGAAACATGCACCAAAGCGACCAGGACGGCAGCCACCAGGACCAACGGTTTCTGGTGGCGGAGCGACGCGACCAACCAGCGCCAATCGATCAGCAGATTGCTGGTCTCGCTGTCCTGCTGCAGAAGAACCACAACGAAACTCTGCTGGCCGTCGACGCCGTACACCGACGGAACTCCCAACTGGAGCAACAGCAGCTAGAATTTCTGCTGGTGGTCGACAGATTGACGAAGCGGATCTCTCAATTGGAGCATCAGTGGTCTGGACCGTCCACACCGGACCCGGGCCAACAGCCAGTCCATAGCATGGACACTTTGCGAGACGTGGTCCAACGGCCCGTCCCGTACTCGGAGACTTTCCGAGACCATGGCCAACGGCCAGTCCATAGCATGGACACCTTACGAGACGCGGTCCAACGGCCCGTCCCGTGCTCGGACACTATCCGAGACCATGGCCAACGGCCAGTCCATAACTTGGACATCTTTCAGGACGTGGTCCAACGGCCCGTCCATCTCTTAGAAATCTTCCGAGGCCCGGGCCAACCGCTCGTTGGTCACTCGAATTCCTTCCAAGCCCCAGATGTATTGCGCGGAAGCCAGACATATGGACTGGGATTGGTACCACCCGCCATGGACCAGGGCGGACATCCGGCTCCTACAAGAGCCAAAACTGACTCAAACCAGCCCAACCTAGTGGGACCGGTGTTCCTGATCGGAGCACCGCCACAAGGCCAGGCAGTGGCAGGACATGTTGGGGCGCCTACGGCGTCGCCGCATGGTCCAACTGGCCCACTCAACTCAGTGGCGCCACTTGGTCACTCATCACCGAACCAAGGCCAGAACTCGCCACAGCCTACCGGGAGCCCGCATAACCCAGCGGTGCCGCCCGGACCAGGGATTCAGCTTAATTTGGGCCCAAACGGGTTCCATCTGATCCCATCACCAGGTGAATGGAGAGTGACCAACGGCGCGATCCAGCCCCCACCTGACCCACTGATGAATCCTCAAGTGGGACCTCAGCCACACCAGGCTCAGTTGGCTCTACAGCCAAACCAGAGAGCCCAACCAGGCCAGCCCATATTGGCTCAACAGCCACCGCAGCCAAACCAGGGAGCCCAACCAGGCCAGCCCGTATTGGCTCAACAGCCACCGCAGCCAAACCAGGGAGCCCAACCAGGCCAGCCCGTATTGGCTCAACAGCCACCGCAGCCAGACCAGGGAGCCCAACCGGGCCAACCCGTATTAGCGCAGGGACCGCCACAGATTGTGACTGTTGCCCAAGAAGTGGTAAAGTCACTTGTGAATGGCCTGACCATCCACCAAATTGAGCTGCCATTCTTTGACGGCGACCGGACCCATTTTGATTTCTGGATTAACACTACCAGACGTATCCTCAGGCAGAGCGCCGACCTGAACCAGGAAAACGCAAATGTCATGAGTACAATAAGAGCAAGCCTTACAGGCCAGGCTCTCGATTGGTATCAAGGTCAAACGGCACTTGAACCAGAAGAAGGCTGGACCGTCAACGAATGGCTCAACAAATTCGCCATACGATTTACCGAGAATAACAAAGCGGTAAAGGCCATGACCGAAATTATTAACCGAAGGTTCAAGCATGGACAGGAAACACCCGAAGAATTTTACGATGCCGTCATGCTTCTCGCTCTAAAGGCGCAAATGTCGGACGGCATAGCCCTGCATTTCCTGAACACCCACATGGTGGAACCAGAACTGCGTTCGGCCCTAAGCATCACAATGCCGAAAAACACGGCTGAGTGGCTGAAATTTGTACGGGAATTTACCGCAGGCAAAGCGACCTATGAAGCCAAGAATAGGGAAACACCTGGCGTCTACGGCGCCAGCCCAATGGCCAAACCGCATAACCAGAACGGTGGCTACAGGAAGGCGTAGCGGCGGTCTAACCTATAACCAGGCTGGAGGCCCTGGCCAGAACGGTCAGAGGTCGTCATCTGGCCCTACCCAAGCCCAACGGAACCTGGACGCCTATATCGACAGACAAGAAGGCCTGTTCGAACAGTGGACGTTCCAGAATGCGATTACTTGCAGCAATTGCTGGTGGGGAAACCACAGTAACCGCAACTGCCTGTACGCAACCACTGACCCCGCCAGCAACCCAAACCGGCGCTGGTATATGGACTGGCGCTTGAGATATAGCTCTCGAGGCCCTGTTGGAGCAGCAAACCCATACCGCAATGAACTCATCGTGGCTGGCAAACCACGCGCACACGGCGCCAATCGGTCACGTTCGGGCGGATTATGGGGACATCAAGATTTCGTCCATGAGGGACGGCATCTCCCACCTCTGCCCACTGA